AGCAAATTTACTACCATTTACGACCTTTACGACCAGGGCGCCGAATTTACGACTTTACTGGACACCCTACTTTATGGAAAAGTAAGCATAACTGACTCAGGCCTACCTGTTTAAATATCTAGATCTAGATTTCTACGTTAAAACGATTGAATTGCACAAGGCACGATGCTGTTTATCTTTGTTCACTTCAAATTACTATCAACTTTGTGACTTGTGAAATCCTAGCGCGATAGCCTATTAGGCGTCTTAGGGCCTATCATACGCGTCACCTTTTGCTTCGTTTTCATTTTCAACATCAACCTTGACCTTCGACCTTTGAAAAGGGCCTAGCCCTTAAATTTTTTTTTACTTAAACAAAAAAACGAACCATAGACTATTTGACCGCGTGACACAATTGTGACCCGCTGAACTTACCATAAACCCAGCGGCATGGTCACAGGCAGCGTGCTTGTCACTTTGCCAGCCAACTAGGCTGGGGCTTCCCCACAGAGAGCAAAAGTAGGTCATCCACTGATTGCACTCATTAGCAGCGCTTAGTTAATGCAGGATTATGACAGGTAGGCCTACCTGTGTTCGAAGTTGTGCTCCCCAGCTACCTGACCGTAATTTTTTTTCTCTCGTTATTTTTTTTAAGGATGAAGTATGCCGTATCATATTTCAGCTTTCCGTAACTCCATAAACGAAGTTACGATCAAAAGAAAGGACACGTAACTCCATAAACGAAGTTACGATCAAAAGAAAGGACACGAAAAAAAATAAAAGTATGCCAATATTTGTACCTTATGAACCCATTCGTACATCCCAAACTTTGAGTCAAATGTGCCTTTCTGCAGTGACCTCAGTTTCAAGATAAACCTTGGACCAAGTTCTTGCAGATTCACTCTTTCTGCATTCCTGAACTGATATCTGGAGGAGAAAAAAAAAGAACATATTCTTCAGAATGAAATACAGAAACCTACTAAGCTTCTGCTCTACGACCATACCATTCCCCATAAAGGCATTACAATTAACAAGTCAGTTTTAGTTTTAGTATGAGTTTTATGGTACTTGCAACACAATAAGGTCATATAAGTGCCGAAGATTAGAGGTGTTACAAGAGAGTAACAAACACAAAATAGAAGGAGGGGAGATAAGAACGATAGATGTTTGATAGGAAAGAAGGAGCAAACCACACCAGAGTACCCGCCAACCACCAACCAACAAGTTCAATATTTTTTTTTATAGTAGAGGGTTTTACAGCGCTCACAACTGCATAAGGTCATATGAGCGCCAAGGGGTGGATGTCAACAGAGAAGTCTTTACAGGGAATCAGACTTAGACTGCTCACCTCTCTAGCTTCAACAGCACAAGGTCTGCTTCGACTATCAAGGCACCCAAAAATAGCAGGTCACAAGAGAGTGACAAACATACAAAAGAAGTAGATGAAAATGACAATAGTAAGGATCAGGACAGAAAAAGCAGCAGTTCCCTGTTGTTGATCAGGCACAGTTATGAGCGTGACATGAGTCAGCCCATTTACAATTCTACTATGCTTGAACGAGAAATGTCCCCCCTTCGGGAATGGCCTAAAGACACTTCACTCAGTGGCACTGCCCCGGGGGTAACAAGTCAAAGCTGTAAACTTTGCATTCATAGCTCCAACAGCAACTTGGGTTACCTGGTACTGTACATAATCAGTGCCCAAGCAATAAATAATAATAATAATAAGGTCATTTCTATAGTGCCCACTCATGTGTAAACCCAGCTGTAGGCGCTTTACATAAATGCACATACGAACAATATTCACGCACGCGACACAAACACACACACTCATGCACACATGCACGCCAAACACACATCTACTTGCTTATCACGCGCGCAGGCTTATACATATCGTTACGAAATGAGCATATACACATACATAACAAAATAATGTACACAATGCAATTTGCAAAATACATAAATGGATAGATAGTCATTTACATAACACTGTACTGAATGAATCTACTGACATAAAAATAATGTCATTAAATGTGTCTTTAAAGATATTATAAATTTAGACTCAGATGTTGTATGTCTCAAGGGTTGGGGAAGAGAGTTCCAAACTGATGGAGCAAGGCGGGAAAACGGATCTTTCAGCTAATTTCTTACCTCCTTTCCTAGGAATTCTTAAAAGATACTGATCAATACACAGTAACGCTTGTAAAAGTAAAAGGGACTCTTTTGATATAGCACATATGACCAGAAGCTGCAGAAGACACAGAGAAGGAGGGAAAATGCTTAATGCCTTCGTTGCCTTATGACGTACCTGGTACATCACAAAAGTTTGCAATACTAAAATTTAGCTTTGTGCTGTACCATGGACATCATGGAAAATGGCAAAATTCGCCATTCATGGTTTCTTGTATGATGTTCCATGCATGTTCCGTTCATCATCTGGATTTAATTTTTCTGCACAGAGATTCAGCCTCAAGAACAGTCTGGATTCACATTCGGAAAAAGAATGCGATGATCAGTACCATATTATTAGCTAGTACTATTTTACTGTGGGGCTTGCAAGCGATCGATAAAAACGAGTGTAGTCTCGCAGACAAACATACTCTCGCAAAATGTAAACACCCAAATAGTAACTTTAAAAAAAAAAAGGCAGCAGTTTATTTCTTGACTAAAATTTGCAAGTTTTTCAAAATAATGGGTAAGATGGGGGAGCATGAGGCAAATATCTTAACCCTTTACCTGCTCTGTGGGCGTACCTGGTACACACTAACAATTCTCTCCCGTGTGCACAGTAGGCGTTGGTACGCCCCGGACGGAAAACCCGTTTTGCTTTGTGCACATCTTCGCTTCTACACAGTTTTGAATAACAAGAGTCACATCCCCTTATTCTCTGTCCACTTGCCAACGTGATCATGTCTTTTTTTTTTTAGGCTGCTAGTCACGGGATTTACATGTGGTAGCTAAAACAAAGAAAGGTGGTGTGTAGTGTGTTGCGCGTGAACGACGAAGTCAATCTGCCTCTCTGCGGTTCTTGCGTGCAGAATACATATATATACCTAAAAATTACTTACACCAATGGACTGTGTGTTCATTTCTCTTTTATTTGATATATACTTTGCTACATTTAGCGAATAAGCACACTGTCAATGCGGAAATTTCCGTAGCACATGGGGTGATCTTATGGTTAGCAGTCAAGAGGTTAACCAGAACACCAGCTGACCTCCACTCCCTGGCTTTTTTGTGCTTGAACTTGAACAACAAGAGAAAATGTGGTCACCGGCAATCAAAAATACACTTTCAAAGCTGGACTGTACAGCTGAACCTGCCTTAGTGGTCACTTCTTCATAGTGGTCACCTGTATTAACCCCTTTGTTGCCTTATGGACCTGGTAAGTCATGAAAATGTGTAATTTTTCGCTCTGTGCTGCACTGTGTACGTCACGGAAGTTGGCAAAATTTGCCGCTCCTGGATGCCTATATGATGTTAAATGTGTGTCACGTTAATAACCTGGCTCTAATTCTTCTGTACGGAGTTTACACCACAAGCGCTACGTAGATTTGTATTCAGGAATAAAACATGTGCACATTAGTACCAAATTTGCTAGTATTATTTTACTGCTAGGCTTGTAAGAGATCAGTAAACACAGATCTATCTTGCGGCTGTATGTCTAAAGCCGGCATTCACAGACCTGTGCTGTCGGAAAAAGATGTAGTCCCTCTGATTGTGAAACGTGACCACTCTGCGACCATGGTAGTTGGGGCCTCGGGGAAACAAACAGGTCAGCATACGGCCAATAGTCACACCAAGCCTTGTGTTGAAATTGTGTATGTTGACCTCTGGGGTGTGGTCAGTCATCTCCCCAACTTTCTGGTTACACAAGACAGAAAAAGTCAAAATTAGTCAAAACTTTATATAGACACTTTACTTACTCTGGTAGGAGAATAGGCATCATTGCAGGCAGCACTATGCCATAGCTGCCCCTCCCTACTCTCCAGGATCCATGAAAAAAGATAATATTTATGCCTGGGAAGAGATGATTTTTAATTAAAAAGTCAGTGGTCTGTTAAGCTAATACTCACTGCTATTATTTCAGAGGTCCCAGGGGTTCACATAAAAGAGGAGACAAAATGTAAAATACATCTTTCAAAAGAATCCATTTAGTAGCAATACGTTTAAGAGACAGATCAGAACTTTTGAGATTACATGAATGTCAATAAGTAGGTTATAAAAAAAAGTAACATCAAAACGTGAACCTTCAAAGAGGACAGCTTGAGCACATGAAGCTTAATACACTTTTTACCTTAATTTCCTTGGTCAGCTTCATATTCAAAAGCTTGAACTCTGCAGTCGGACCTTCAGGCAAATGGCATAAAACAAGGCCATCTTGAACTGGTTAAGACTTTTTTTTTCATATTCTCAGCACTGAAAGAACACGATCCCATTACTGTGAAGTCATTTAACTATTATCCCATGGACCACTTCGTGTATCTCAAAACAGTAGCAAAAGCAAAATATAATTTCAGCCGTAATGTACAGCAGCAATGGACTAACAGACATTTCATGGAAAACTTTGAATAACTTAACACCCATTTCCATTGTGCAAGAACACAGACTGCTGAAATTATACAAATCTTTGACTTACCGGGTAACACTAATATGTCATCAGCATTCTAAACAAGTCGGAAAAACTTAGGCCAGTTTTAGTTTTAGCAAGTGTTTTACAGCATTTGCAACACAATAAGGTCATACAAGTGCCGGAGATTAGAGGTGTTACAAGAGAGTAACACAAACACAAAAAAGGAGGGGAGATAAGGATGATAGATTTTTTAAAGGAAAGAAGTAGCAAACCACACCAGAGCACCCACCAACTACCCACTAAACTTAAGCCAAGAAGTTGTAAATTTGGAAGTAGGTTGAACCATGCGACTAGCAGTATGTACGCGTCTAATCTTGATCGTTCTTAATAAATTACATGACAGGAAAATTACAATAATAATGAATTTATGTACATGTGAGCAAAAGGATACTTGGCTCCCCTCTGTCTTCATTGACCACAATGAGATCAGTGAACTCCTTCTCACTGGCCTGAGGAATGATTTTCTTCAAGTCCAGTCCGCGGCGGTACTTCACAAACGAATTTGGGATCACTTTCTTCAACTCTTTGCAAAAACTGTTGGTCCTCTGAAATGGAGGTGGCAACATTAGTCAGAAGAAAGGAGAATAATAAAGTCATGGAATTTTGGCAAAGCATTCCCTACCTACAGAAAAAGAATCTGATAGAATCTACAGAGTTTTGTGTCTTTTCATAAAAATGTTTTTGTAAGTACAGGTAAATAAATCAAAGCTGTGGTACCGTAATCAGAGGAACATGAAATAAACATCAGCATTAAAATAAACCATATGTGAAGCGTGCTGGTAAAATGAGTTACTTCTCGGATTCAAGCCTGATAGAAATAGACACATCATGCTTATAGGTGAAGTTTTTACAATTTATAAGTACGAAATAATAAAAGGCACGTTATAGTTAAAGAACATGACATTAACAGAAATTCTACAAATTCAACCCTAGTGTCGAGTTTTGGCCAATATCTCCATCTGTGGATTGCGAGAAACTCATTTTGTCAGCACGCCTCACATATGTGAAGGTGTCCTCAGCATTCCCAGCACTTGGGGCGTAATTCCTTGGATAATAATTTACGAAAATGACAAAATCCACAGAAATGAAAAAAAAATACAATAAGATAAGATACATTTTTATTGTCCAGATCCTGGCACATTGTTTTTTTATAGTAGAGGGTTTTACGGCGCTCGCAACTGCATAAGGTCCTATGAGCGCCAAGGGGCGGATGTCAACAGAGAAGTCTTTACAGGGAATCAGACTTAGACTGCTCACCTCTCTAGCTTCAACAGCACAAGGTCTGCTTCGACTATCAAGGCACCCCGGATAGTAAGGATCAGGAAAGAAAAAGCAGCAGTTCCCTGTTGTAGATCAGGCACAGTTATGAGCGTGACATGAGTCAGCCCATTTACAATTCTACTATGCTTGAACGAGAAATGTCCCCCCTTTGGGAATGGCCTAAAGACACTACAGTCAGTGGCACCGCCCCGGGGGGTGCACATTGGTTTGGTGTTTCACAACATACACACACGCAGGCTTACAGTCACATGTATAATATAAATGAACAGCAATATAAACAATAATAATCTTAAGCTAGACACATACTCAATGTTATTCTGATGCATGCTCTAAGGTCATATGAATACTTATAACAAGATGGTTAAGATAATACACCATGCCTTGGATTAGATAACTCAAGAGAAGAGACATCACACAACTTTACCGTTGTCGGTCGGTCTGACGTAGTGATCAAAATCTTGGGTGTGGTCTCCTGGTTGAAATATGACGCCATTTCATCCATCTGCAAATCAATCTGGGTCTGAAGGAAAAGACATGTAAGAGATGCTGAATTCCAGAGAGTGATAGAGCTGGGGGAAGGATCAATTCCGGAACCGATTCCCACGAACAATGCTATGGAAGAAAAGTTCAGACTCCTTTTTACATAAAACCAACGGTTACCAGTTACTTTAATCATTAAAATCTTTTTTTTTTTTTTTTATTTATCTTTTTAAAAAAAAGTTGATGCTTCATAGTGTTCCAAAATCAAGGTTATCCTAAACATGAAGATGTTCGGAGCCAACCAGGTAACCACCGGAAGAAATCACATCATTAGAAAGTAAGTAATTGTGTCGGAGTCAATCCCTACAATTCCTAGCTTTCAATAATCATGAACCTAGCAGCCCAGCACTAGAGAGTGAAAAATTAGTTCAAGCAACATTCCAAACTAGTAGTTATGATGCGATAAGATCAAAAGAAATAAATGGCAGTAAAAAAAAAAAAAAATTTCTTTCAAAAAGACAATGGCCATCTCTTAAACAATATTATGCATTAAATGAAAGGTAAAAAAATACAGAGTAAACACATAAAAAGAGTGAAAATGGATACAGAAAGACATAGAAATGCGGAAACTAAATTAATCAGCATCATTATCATATGAGGTACAAATCAGCATAAATGGTATCAATGATTCAAAACTAACAGACAAAATTGTCACAAGCGGACCAAACCATCAGAATGGTTTGGACATTCATCTTTGAAGTGTTTTCACACCTCACATCATACTTAGTTCAAACATAACAGTGACATGAAATGTCATGTGACAGACAAACCTCTTTATTAGCCGGATCAACCATGGTTTCATCTGGTACCCTCATATTTTCTATCGTCTTTGGCTTCTTTTTCGGAGGAGCCTGAAAAAGAGAGTGAAAATATTTCAAACTAAAAAAGTGAACCCATACCACATCCCCATTGCTCCCCAGAAGTCTTTCTTCTTTCAGCTGAGCAGTTTTGTTAGCAGGCCTACCCAAGATGCTGCTTTGTAATTTTCCTCCACCCCTAAGTCTAGTTGTCACTGAATAATTACAGAGATACAACATAACATGAACCACAGCTACAATGTGTATGTATAATATATATTATTAGGTCACAACTTTTTTTTCTACCAAAGTTTTATCATACTATCAAGCAACCATATGGGGACAAAATGGTATGGCAAAGATCTAGGGGGAATTTAAAAAATGCTGAACTTCTCTTTAAAGCAAAAAATTTTACAAAAATTCCAGCTCACACTGTGCCCTAGCTAGCACTTCAACAAATTTTTAATAATAATAATAATAATAATAATATATAACATTTATATAGCGCATTTCCAAAAAAGTAGCTCAATGCGCTTTACATTGGAATACCCATTTTTCAAAAACCTTTCTTACTACTTCCTTTCTTCTCAAGCAATATACATTAATGCACACACACACACACACACACAGACTATTTTCATCGAGACATAGGAACAGAACAAATATAATGAAAGATAACTTTAAAAGCTTATGAAGGATAGGCCTGTAGGAACAGAAAATGTTCAAGTAATTTAACAAAATTTTTATGTAATTCAATATAATAAAATAGACACATCAATCAGGTGACAAACTGGAATGTTTTGTTTTTTCTTAATCACCAGCTCTTACCTCAGATCCAAGTTCCTTTTCTTCTTGCTTTCTTTTTTTTTTCTCCTCCATTTTGAGCTGAAAAATAAGGACATGGTTAGCTGAGCTGTCTGAAAGGATGTTCTGCCTCATTAATCTCAAAAACTTGAAAAAAAATCAATACAAACCATTTGTGCACCATCAGCACGAAAACTTCAACACCAACACTTCTCCGTCTCATTGGTAATTGCTAACATTAATTCGAATGCACTAGTTGCAGTGTTTAAATAGGTATGCATCTATCCCTATGGATTGGGTGTTTGACCCAATGAACTTTGGAAGAACAGCTCTCAGCAACAAAGAAGTTACTCTAGAAGGAATAAAAGGAAAACAGAACAGAGAACTAGGGAGAAATGCGTGAAGAAAGGGCGGTGTCATGCATCATTGTAGAGATTTAAGAGATGTGTGGCTAATGTCTGTTCGGGGTGGACGACTGGCCAATATCGAGTCCTTTATCGACTAAGAGAATCCAATCAATATCGTTAAGTGCTCAGTACTTACTAAGATTAAGATTCAACAAGGGGATGTAATTAAAGTTTCTTACCGTAATATGTAATAAGGTCAATCACTTTTTACCATAAAAACACCATGAAATGCAGTAGTAGGCCTGCATGAATTTGACAGAGCTATTTTTATTGCTGTGGTCTTTTAAATTAAAAATCCCCTTTTCTGTTTTTGGTTTTGGTTTGTTTGTTCCTTTTTTAATGTTTTTTCTGCGGCTTCATTTTTTCTTTTCTTGTTTAGTTGAACGCCCAAAAGTTGCTTTCTGAATTTTAGGGGATCAACTTAGGCATTATTGACCAAAACCAGTTGAGTGTACAGGCCCATCTCTACGTATTATATTTGTGAAAGTTCGTCATTTTAGCCGCTTAAAACTTCGGAACCACTTAACTTTCGAATTTGAAAAAATTAAACGTGTTTCAGAATGATTTCAAAGGGTGCACAGTTTTACTGAGGAGTCTGAAGTTACTGTAGTTTAATTTTCAGTTTTTCATTAGTTTCATTTAGATCTAATCTAAGGAAAGTCCGTCTTCTTAGACGCCATGTGAACAAGTGAGGCTTCCTTTCACAAGCCATGCGCACTCATCCCACAACGACTTGGCGATCGATTCTTTTGAGTCCGGCCATCAAAACGAGGTACCCAGCTAGTTAGTAATAATTCAGGTTTAAAATAGCACTGTCCATAAGGCACTTTTTGGTTTCATCACAAATACTTCAGGTATTTCTTGATCAAACTAAAAATTTATTTACAACCCGGTAGGCCTATTTTTTGCTGTTTTTTTCAGTCTAGCCATCATTAATTAGGCTAATAAGTATGGCTAGCCTGCCAGTCTAGTCGTAAGTACAGCTAGCCTAGCAGTCTAATGGTCACTAATCAGTAAGTACAGTTAGCCTCTTCCTTCCGAAGTGGCAAGCCATACTAAAGGTTTCCCAAATACCCCGTCCCCCTTCAAAGACAGAAAAGACCTCCGAAAACAGAAGGTTTTCCTCTGATTCCATAGCAATTTTGTATCGGACAGGTTCAACTGTGGAATTTCTTCCCTGGACTTTTGTAACCTTGACTGTTTTAAACCATAATTTGATATTTTACATTTGTGAAGCGTGCTGACAAAATGAGTTACTTCTCAGATTCGAGCCCTATGGAAATAGGTACACCACACTTTTAGGGGTGACATCTTTTTACAATTTATAAGTAAGAAATTATAAAAAGCATGCCATAATTCAAGAATATGGCATCAACAGAAAATCTACAAGTTCGACCCTAGTGTCGATTTTTGGCCAATATCTCCATTTGTGAAATGCGAGAAGTAACTCATTTTGTCAGCACGCCTCACATTTGAGCAATTGCCAAAACATGAGACTCTCTTGAGACTCAGTGGTGAAAAAAAATTGTTCTTACCAATTTGACTCTCTTTTCTGTCAGTCACAGATTGACATTTAGTGCTCATATTCCTAGAGTATCAGAGCAAGGAGATGTAAGGATTTGGAGATATGGGTCTATTGGTTAGGCAACTACTGTATTTCTTGTATGTAACAGTGATGACAAAAACAGATAAGCAGCAAGGCAAATTATGGACTTTAAATTCCATTTGTTTAATAAACAAAGACTTTGTACACTATGAACCATTCGTAATGGTAATATGAATGACAAGCTTTGTAACAATGACGCAGTGCACAGAACATGTCATCATTGTTATGTACAAGAAAGGATACACATTTGACATTATCATTGACAACACATCACAATAGTGAAAGGCTGTACAAATACAGTTATAATCAAAGCCTCAGTATCAGAAAAACACATGTGTAAAACAATTTTTAAACTAATATGAGGCAAAAGCACAAAATCAATGGAGCTGACTTGTACATAACAGTGATGACAAACATGACTTGTACATAAAAATGATGACACAATGTACAGGAAAAGACAAAGTCATGTCTCCAGAGAGAAATGCGCACTTTAAGAATTTTTAAAAAACCAGGAGAGGTTTCATTTGCTTTGAAACAGATATCAGGTCATATCAAAAACAGTGGACGATCAAAATTTTGTTGCTAATTATGACAAACTGTACTCGTACATAACAGTGATGACAAAACATACTGACTGGGAAAACATAAAATTATGCCTACAAAAAACAAATTTGAACTAAGAGATACACAGATCAATAAAGGCGTATTTTGCTTCTAAATGAATCTTGCACGTATGAAATATATGTTGAAAACTTATTGATATTAGCAATGGTGACAAATATTACTTGAACATAATAATGATGACACAATGTATTGGAAAAAGGCATATCATACCAACAAAGAACAAATGTGTATGAGTTAGACAGATAAACAAGGACATATTTGTTTATTTGTTTGAGTAAAGAGAGCACACATGACTTAAAAAATGTTTGCTCTTAGGACAATGTAATTTCTAGTACGTCAGTCAGTCTTGTACGGCTGCATGACGACACCCCAAACGTCATCACTAAGCACAAACGCTATTAAATCTATAACCACAGAAATGATCCATCTCTCGAAGTTTGTCCTCACATCACACTCTTATTCCAGGAATCCAGTGTAAACACCGCAATTTCACTAAAATATTCAATAGGGTAGCCTAAAAACACGCAAAACAGTCCAGTACGTCACATTCAACGCAAGAATCTTACACAAGTGCGTCACCAGACGCTGCAGGCAATGACTACTTTCGTTTTTCTGTTTCCCCCGTCGCTTCTGTTGTTCTGGGGAAGCGGGTAAGGGAAAGTCACTCAAGAAAACAATTATATCCGGGCACTGTTGATGACCCGTTCAAAACAAAAGTGGGTGAAATTCGGATTTCCGGCACGTTGCAAGGTGACGACAATCACGGCGAATGTTAAACAGCCGACCGAAATCGTAGATCTAGGAACCTGATGTTCCTTTCGCCCATCGCAGCTTTTGAAGTATTGAATAAACGACGAAAAGCAAAAAGATTTAACCAGCTACGGTGATTCTATTGAAAAATAATGGTGTTTTCTGAAACACCTAGTCCGTGACGACACGACTGACGCACAAAAGTGATCCGAATTGTTCGTTTATTTGCAAACAAATAAACGATTTCTTGAGCAAGTTAACCTTTCTCGATGACAAATAGCATAGGATCAAAGCACACGTAAAAAAACCCACCCAAAAATACTAAATTTTGAACATTCTTGGAAGTTTGCATTGGTGTGCTCAAAATGACACTCCAGGAATCACAAAAAAACGAACAATTTTGGCACAAAATTTACAAACTGAAGATTGTAAAGCTGACATGGGGTCTGAAACTGCTAATTATGCAGGTTCCACCTATATTTGACATGTGTATAAGTTTTGGAGGAATGAAAACTAATGCATCACGTTTTAGGCCACCTCTATTCTCACCCGGGGTGAGAATAGTGCAGGCCAGTCTTTTGGCTATTCTCACCCGGTGCGCGTTCACCGTTATAGCCTAGATCTAGGCCAACAAATTTTGCGTTCACCCTAAACCACAGAATTCTACACGGAAGAGGCTAGCCGTACTTAATGACGGCTAGACTGGCAGTCTAGCCGTACTTAAGTACGGCTAGACTCGCAGTCTAGCCGTACTTATTCTTAATATGATGGCTAGACTGACCATTTACAAAAAATAGGCCTACTGAATTGTAAATATACATTTTTAGTGTGCAGTACCTAAAGCATTTGTATTTGAGACGAAACCAGGTGCCTTAATGACAGTGTATGTATTTTAAAACCTCCTGTTTTCTAATGTTAATAGGGCCTAAGATAAGTACGGCTAGACTGGCAGTCTAGCAGTACTTAAGTACGGCTAGACTTCTTGTCTAGCCGTACTTAAGTACGGGTAGACAGCCAGGCTAGCCATACTTAAGGACGGCTAGACTGTCAGGCTAGCCGTACTTAATATTGATGGCTGTATTGTAAATGAAATTTTTAGTTTGCAATGCCAAAAGTATTTGTATTTCAGACAAAACCAAAAGGTGCCTTACTGACTTGCATGTATTTGAACCTGAATAATTACTAGATCTAGGTCTAATGAGACCTGTGTACTTAACAGGCTTGAGTCGATTGGGCCAAACCTAGATCTAAGTACGGCTAGCCACTTCGATTCTACACTGTGATAACAGAAAAATTGTAGAATTCTGTGCTGTGAACAAACGTTCCATTACAACTGTAGCCTACTAAAAGCGTACAATTTTGTCTGTTGGCAGTAGAGAGAGAGAAAGAGAGAGAACAAAACAAAATGGCAACCCGCGTAGTTCGGCTCGATTCGAAAAGTTAAATAGCCGTAGCATCTTTGTAGACAACCAAATTAATTTACTTTTGTGTTTTAACATCATTTTTTAACTTTGTTTTGGTCAATTTGATCGTCCACACCGATAGACAGTATTCAGAAAGAGACAGAGAGAGAGAGAGAAGAGGGGAGGAGTAGATCTTGCGAGAACTTCCGGCGGGTGAGAATAGCCACTTTCCACGTTTTATGTACACTAATGTGAGATGTGTGTGTTTTCCCCCACGTTTTGGCAATGGCTCAATTTAGATTTGAAATTTTCAAGAAAATAATCGATTTGTGACAACTTTAGTGGCTTTTTTTATGTGATCTGCAGCAAACAGTAAAGTACTGCAGTTTGACCCCCGCCCGAAGCAGGACAAACATAATTGATTTATTTTCATTCCGGTTACCGTGTACGTAGATACTGAGACTAGGTGCCCGGTTACCGTGTACGTAGACACTCCGTTTGATATAATATTCTAGGTGGGCGGAATGCACACACTACACTGTTTGGATACAGTGTGGGCAGGTAGCCCAGACTAGCCTAGGAGGGGGGCGGTCTGCGTGGACCGGTGTGGGCATATAGCCCAGACCCTGGGCGGATGATAACCCAGACAACTTAGAAAATAGTTTTAGCTATCAACTGGAAAGAAATCTGGCATATTATGAGAAATGCACTCTTCTGAGGGAAGAAGAATGTGTGGCGGTTCAGTAACTGTGGCTTATTAGACATAGTTGGGCTGCCAAAAGACAGGAGACTCAAGAGAGCCAAAATGGGTTAAGTGGGTGGATTGCCTAGACAGTACTCTAGATGTAGATATATCTAGATCTAAATCTAGATCTAATCTAGATTCTAGATCTAGATTCTAGATTCTAGATTCTAGATCTAGATCTAAGATCTAGATCTAGATTCTAGATCTAGATAGATTAGTCGACAATAAACTGACCTTCCTCTTCTCCTTTTTGTACTGTTTGTAGACCTCGCCTCTACGCTGCTTGTTCTTTATCTCGGGCATCGTTATTGTCGTAGACATGTTTCCAATATGTATGTAGATCTAGAATCTACTTCCTTTCTCCCTCAGCTGGCTTGTTGACCACACAGACTTGTACCTGTATTGTAGCCTAGTGGAAAACTGCAGAACAACTGATGACTGGTGTTGAGAGAGAAACGTGTGTTTCCTTTTAGCCTGGCACAGTTGACAAGTATCGAAACAATGTACTGCAAACGGAAGTACAAGTCCAAATGACAGGGGCGGTCGCTGTCAGACAGAACGAAAGCATACGAAAGCAAGCACACTGATATTTGGTAAAAGAATAAATATATTTTTCGTTCTTTCTCTGAATTAACTTGATTATAAAATAAAAATTAAATGGAATCTAAAGCAACGTAGAAAAATATTATTATTTACTGCTAAATACTTAACACTCGATCACAGAATTCTATGCACTCGATAAATCTATGTACTGACAATTAGTACACGAATGGGCTGACTTGCGAAGGGAGACAATAACAGTATTGCGAAACATTTCCGGGAAGACCTTACTCATTTGGCAGTGACCATTTACTATTGTAAACAAAACACTTTTCATCTCACAAAAGCGACCGCTGCACCTTCTGAAAATGTTTGGAAGGAAACCAAAACAGAGTGGTGGGGGCAGTGGAAGTGAGCAAGGTCGCAGGAAAGGAGCCGACCTTATGAATCAGGTATGTCTTTACGACTTAAAAGTTTTATGCCTTTTTAATTTAATTTAGTTAGGTAGGGCGGACCAAGCCAACGGCAACGGAGGCCAAACTTGCCAAACCCATCGCCTACACCTACAGTAACTCGAACAACCAGAGCAAATTAGTCTGAATCTTAATCTAATCAATGGTATCCCAAAAATATGAAATTGAAATCAAGTTCTTAAAACTATTTAAAACTGATTGTAGGTCTTTTCTCATCCCCTTGCCCTAACCAGCCAGTGTGAGTCCGGTAAAGAGGCATACACTAAACTAAAAGTTAGATAGAGCCAAGTTGGAACCTCTGCTACCTGCGGAGACCTGGAATGCAGTACCTTGACCCACATAGTTTCAAAAAAGGAAGTGTACATGTGAAAGTGACACTGGCTATTAATTCTACATCAGATTTCACTTAAAATTCATTCACAGGCAAATATGCACGTAACTGACACGCTTCACGCACACTGAAGGGTAAAAGAAGGCTTACACCTCAAACACATTTGACACTCACACTGATGACATGCACTTCATAAACTTGTACCCACTCATGCACAGACAATTGCTTAACGCATACAGATGCCCAGA